CGCATAAACGTATCCATTGTCTGGCTTGAACGCGTGTTCTTCCAAGCTTTAGGGAAGGAATAAAGGTTATCGCTCCGGTCAGTCTCTCTGGGTATCTACTGTCCAAATTACACGTACCCCAAGCACATCACTTGACCATTTCGACAGGTTAATGGTTAACGTCTGCTGGAAATACCTTTATTTATGTCTGGATCTGATGATCCAAGTTGACGGGCACAATGGCAGGCAGATTATAGCCAGCTCGCGCAGAATGGAAGGCGTTTTTTGATTGGTTGATTTAATATTTTGATTCACAGCGACGGGTCAATTCTGTCATATGGACCATTCCAGACTGACAATCAAGCAACCGCTGGATGTGTTTCATGGAGCCGAATCGTTGCCATATAAAGAGAAAAAATCATGGTTAAAGTTGCAAAATTATCATAGTCCAAATGGTAAAAATTGCCATTTTCGCTATTTTTTACTTGTAAATATCACATAACATTAATACATTTGGATGGATATTTAACATCATGAAAATCACTATTAGTATCAAAACAAAAATTGCTCGACGTTTTTTTTCCCTCTCTACTTTTCGACTTTGCAAATTCACTGTAAATTTTTCATCTTTTTCAATTATTTTTTTTCTCCATTGCATTTTCGACTATCACAATTTCTCCAATCTAACTGACCATATAAGGAATGGGGCGTGTTTCCAAGTTCGGCCGAAATTGACATCATAACCCATCTGTTTTTATCATCTGGACTAAAATTAATGCTCCCTTATAGGGACTATGGGCACACCACGATGTACGTTGATATAAGCGGCTAATGCATTTGGAGTTCTTCAGTTAGCTGAGTGAATAGTAAGAGCAGGAGGACCGCATCACACATAAACAATTACACAATACAAACCCGTGGACACAATACACAATATAGGCTATATTTCATATTTCAAACAATAAGCAACAAATGTATCAAATCAAGTGAATGGGTCCTGGGGATTTATAAAAGCACCCGCTGATTAATTAATTATATAAAACAATATCTAACGTAATATGTTATTTGTAGGTAATTGATTAGTTGTAGGTACCATAGAGGTGTACTTTATGTGAAGTACTAGTACACCAACATCAAAAGATGACGTCACAACTGTATTTTTATTGAAGACCACATTAGGCCCGACTTGTGTTTTGATTTCTAGTTGTATTTTATTAATATAACTTTTCTTTCTAGATTCCCATTATTTAACCCCCAGTTAATGCGAAAAGAAGAAATAATTTATGTCTTTACTTTCATGCTTGATAACAACTACATAATCCATTAGATTTTAATATTGACAGTGGATTGGCAGGCTCTGCTGCATGTATTGCGATCACAATTACCGTACCTTATCATGATCGATTGAAAAGGTAACTTGAAATATTCTGGAAAACTGACCCAGTGTTAACAATAATTCATACCTCTTTTCAAGGATATTTTGTTTTTTTAATTTTTTTTATTTTCCACAAATTACAGATCTTTATCAACTAAATATTGTACTGTTCTGGTGGAAAAAAAACACTTTTGCGGATCAACTCTTCCTGACGAAACATGATACTCTCTACCATGTACTAATTGTCTTGTATGCAATTTATTACATTGTCTAATAACTGTAAAGCTTTTCTTAATTGCTTAAGGCAGCCAGGCACATCTTTTGTAGTTACACTTATTTCAGATATAACGCCAGCAATTCGCTCACATTCATGCCGATGTGCTGTTAAAGATTCATCCGGTCTATTAAACCAATGAGCCAACCTCAAGGTTTGATGATATAACTCATTAAACAAAATGTTGTTCGACATGACAATGAATTTATTTCATTTTTTTTCTCCCAAAAATAATAAATAAAATCGGACAATTCTTAGGAGTTACGAATAACCCAATGGAGCAGTAATTTTAGCCGAGATGATAAATACAGACATCTTAGGACGTCAACTTTGGCTGAACTGGAACCGAACCTTCTGTCAGTTCGATTGGAGAAATTTTGGTGGTGGAAAATACAATGGAGAAATTCTGATGCAAAGATGAACCAGCGGCTGCCAGGCAGGATAAACCCACATTTTGCAAGAGATGGATAGAGAAAAAGCTAAAAACAAAGGCGATTTTTTGTACAATCAGAGGCAATAATCCAGAAAGTTATGGCCTGAAAAGTGCAAATATCAACCGGGCCAGAGATCTTTGGGATATAAAGATATGTTTTAAGTTTCATCAAAATCGTATAAAAATTGTGACCTCTAGAGGGTCCACAACCTTCGTATTACACACGATTTTCCTGAAATTCGAATTTAACTTTCATTATGCTGGAATGGTGATGTATTTAGACGTTTTTTAAAATTGGAAAAAAATTCTGACCTCTAGAGAATCCGCAAGCTGAAAATGCGATTTTTCGAACAATCAGATCTTAATGTGTAATGGTGATATATTCATACGTTTTTTTTTAAATCAGATAAAAACTGTGACCTCTACAGGGACCACAGGATTTATTGTTCAATCAAGGGCCATAATTCAGGAAGTTACGATCCGATATTCACGAATATTGAAAGGAACCGAGATCTTTGGGTTATAAACTTGCATTTTAAGTTTCATCAAAATGGAATCAAAATTGTGGCCTCTAGAGGGTCCACAACTTTGATATACCAGATGTTTACACCATTTGTGTACGAGGGGCTGCCATTTTGTCCTGCAGTTTTGGTCCGATTTTCATGGAATTCAACCCTCAGACAAAATTACGGTGTAACAGTGATATATTCGAACGTTTTTTTAAATCGGATAATAATTGTCCGTCAGTTTCGGTCCCATTGTTACGAAATTCGAACTCAACCATCCCTAGGGTATAACAGTGATATATTTAAACGTTTTTTTTAAATCGGATAAAAATTGTGACCTCTATAGGGTCCACAAGCTAAAAACGTGATTTTTCGTACAATCAGAGGCCATAATTCAGGAAGTTATGATCCGATATGCGCGAATATCGAAAGTAACCGAGAACTGTGGGTTATAAACATACATTTGAAGTTTAAACCGAATCAGATTAAAATTGTGACCTGTACAGTGTTCACAAGCTAAAAACGTGATTTTTCGTACAATCAGGAGCCATAATCCATGAAGTTACAGTCCGATATATGTTAATATCGAAAGGAACCAAGATCTTAGGGTGACATTTCAAGTTTCATTGAAATCGGATAAAAATTGTGACCTGTAGAGTGTTCACAAACAATTGTGGACGGACGGACGGATGGAGGCAACGACAATATACATCCACATGAAAATGTGGGCATATAAAAGTGAATATAAAAGATCGGATGATAACTTTTGGCGTTCACAAGGTTCAATAAAGTGAAATAAGGGCCATAACTCTAGACATAATACACAGAAATTGTTGAAATTCAATAGGTGTCTTCATTTCACTAATTTAAATAATGGATATAAATTTCAGAAAGATAGTATGATAACTTTTGGGGTTAGAGCATTCACAAGGTTCAATAAAGTGAAATAAGGGCCATAACTCTAGACATAATACACAGAAATTGTTGAAATTCAATAGGTGTCTTCATTTCACTAATTTAAATAATGGATATAAATTTCAGAAAGATAGTATGATAACTTTTGGGGTTAGAGCATTCACAAGGTTCAATAAAGTGAAATAAGGGCCATAACTCTAGACATAATACACAGAAATTGTTGAAATTCAATAGACGTCTTCATTTCCTTAATTCAAATATTGCATATAAATTTCACAAAGATCGGATGTTACCTTTTGGCATTAGAGCGTTCACAAGGTTCAATAAAGTGAAATAAGGGCCATAACTCTAGACATAATACACAGAAATTGTTGAAATTCACTAGGCATCTTCATTTTACTAATTTAAATAATGCATATAAATTTCAGAAAGATAGGATGATAACTTTTGGGGTTAGAGCGTTCACAAGGTTAAACAAAGTGAAACAAGGGCCATAATTCTAGAAGTAATAAACGAAAATTGCTGAAATTCAATAGGCTTCTTCGTTTCCCTAATTCAAATATTGCATATAAATTTCACAAAGATCGGATGTTAACTTTTAGCATTAGAGCGTTCACAAGGTTCAACAAAGTGAAACAGGGCCATAACTCTAGACGTTATAAACGGAAATTATGGAAATTAAATAAGCTTCTTCATCTCACTAATGTAAACAACATATATCAATTTTAAAACAATTGGATGATAACTTTTGGCGTTAGAGTGTTCACAAGAAATTCTGTATGATGGATGGACGGACGGACCGACGGATGGGGGCGACGGTAATATAGGTCCTCATCTCACTAATGTAAACAACATATATCAATTTTAAAACAATTGGATGATAACTTTTGGCGTTGGACGGACGGACGGGGGCGACGTTAATATACGTCCACATTTCTATGTGGGCGTATAAAAAGCGATTTTTTCGTACAATCAGGGCCCATAATTCAGGAAGTTTCTGTCCGATATGCGCGAATATCGAAAGGAACTGAGATCTTTGGGTTATAAACTTACATTTCAAGTTTCAACAAAATCGGATAAAAATTGTGACCTCTATAGGATCCACAACCGTGATATACCATATTTTTACGCTATCTGAGAACGAAAGGCGGCCATTTTGTCTGTCAGTTTTGGGCCGATTTTCACGAAATTCGAACTCAGCCGTCCTTAGGGTTTAACGGTGATATAATAATACGGTTTTTTAAATCAGATAAAAATTATGACCTCTATAGGGTCCACAAGCTAAAAGCACGATTTTTCGGACAATCAGGGGCCATAATTCATGAAGTTACGGTCCGATACATGCCAATATCGAAAGCAACTGAGATCTTTTGGAGATAAACCTATATTTCAAGTTTCGTCAAAATCAGATAAGAATTGTGACCTGTGGAGAGTTCACAAACATTTCTGGACGGACGGACAGGGGCCACGACAATGTATGTCCACATGAAAATGTGGGTGTATAAAAATGTAACATAGTTTGTAATTCAATCAAAACTAAATAATTTTAATAATAAACTAGGAAAACCAGTGGCTGCCAGGCAGGATACGCCCACATTTTGCAAGAGAGAACAAGCTACACAAAAAGCGATTTTTCGTACAATCAGGGGCCATAATTCAGGAAATTACAATCCGATATGTGCAAATATCGAAAGGAACCAAGATCTTTGGGTTATAAACTTACATTTCAAGTTTCATCAAAATCAGAAGAAAATTGTCACCTATAGTGGGTCCACAACCTTGATATACCATATTTTTACGCTATTTGAGTACGAGGGGTGGCCATTTTGTATGTCAGTTTTGGGCCGATTTTCACGAAATTCGAACTCAGCCGTCCTTAGGGTGTAACGGTGATATAATAATACGTTTTTTTAAATCGGATAAAAATTATGACTATAGGGCTCACAAGCTAAAAACGTGATTTTTCGTACAATCAGGGGCCATAATTCAGTAAGTTACGTTCTGATATGCGCGATTATTGAAAGGAACCGAGATCTTTGGGTTATAAGCATACATTTCAAGTTTAAACCAAATCGGATAAAAATTGTGACCTCTACAGTGTTCACAAGCTAAAAACGTGATTTTTCGTACAATCAGGGGCCATAATCCATGACGTTACAGTCCGATACATGCCAATATCGAAAGGAACCAAGATCTTAGGGTGATAACCCTATATTTGAAGTTTCGCTAAAATCGGATAAAAATTGTGACCTGTAGACTGTTCACAAACAATTTTGGACGGACAGACGGATGGACAGGGGCGACGACAATATACGTCCACATGAAAATGTGGGAGTATACAAATTGTGACCTCTAGAGTGTTCACAAACAATTGTGGGTGGACGGACGGACAGACGCGACAACAATATACGTACACATGAAAATGTTGGCGTATAAAAATGTTCTGATATCACATTTTAATCAACCAGTGGTTGCTAGACAGGATACGCCCACATTATCGAGAGATGGATAGAGAACAAGCTAAAAAGAAAGTGATTTTTCCTACAATCAAGGGCCATAATTCAGGAAATTACAATTCGATATGCGCAAATATCGAAAGCAACCGAGATCTTTGGGTTATAAACTTACATTTCAAGTTTCAACAAAATCAGATAGCCAGCGGCTGCCAGGTAGGATACGCCCACATTTTCGAGAGATGGATAGAGAACAAGCTAAAAAGAAAGTGATTTTTCCTACAATCAAGGGTCATAATTCAGGAAATTACAATTCGATAATCCCAAATATCGAAAAAAAACGAGGTCTTTGGGTTATAAACTTACATTTTAAGTTTCAACAAAATCGGATAAAAATTGCGACCTCTTACAGGGTCCACAACCTTGATATATCGTATTTTTACGCTATTTGAGAACGAAGGGCGGCCATTTTGTCTGTCAGTTTTGGGCCGATTTTCACAAAGTTCGAACTCAGCCGTCCTTAGGGTGTAACGGTGATATAATAATACGTTCTTATAAATCGGATAAAAATTATGGCCTCTATAGGGTCCACAAGTTAAAAACGCGATTTTGCGTACAATCAGGGGCCATAATTCAGGAAGTTACGGTCCGATATATGCGCGAATAGCAAAAGGAACCAAGATCTTTGGGTGATAAACTGACATTTCAAGTTTCAACAAAATCGGATAAAAATTGTGACCTCTACAGGGTCCACAACCTTGATATACCATATTTGTACGCTATTTGAGAACGAAGGGTGTCCATTTCGTCTGTCAATTTTGGGCCGATTGTCACGAAATTCAAACTGAGCCATCCTTAGGGTGTAACGGTGATATTATAATACGTTTTTTTAAATTGGATAAAAATTATGACCTCTATAGGGTCGACAAGCTAAAAACGCGATTTTTCGTACAATCAGGGCCCATAATTTGGGAAGTTACGGTCCGATATGCGCGAATATCCAAAGGATCTGAGATCTTTGTGTTATAACCTTATATTTCAAGTCTCAACAAAATCGGATGAAAATTGTGACCTCTATAGGGTCCACAAGCTAAAAACGTGATTTTTCGTACAAACATGGGCCATAACCCATGAAGTTTCGATCCGATACATGCCAATATCGAAAGTAGTCGAGATCTTTTGGAGATAAATCTATATTTCAAGTTTCGTCAAAATCGGATAAGAATTGTGACCTGTAGAGTGTCCACAAACAAATTGTGGACGGACAGACGGACGGACAGGGGAGACGACAATATACGTCCACATGAAAATGTGGGCGTATAAAAAAGAACTTTTCCATCTTCAATTATGCATCGAATATTGTCACTTGCAATATTAATCACTGTCGCAGTATTATCACTGGTTATTAAATATACAAAGAAGAAAATACAAGTACAATGAGAACCAGATATTTAGAACTAAAATCTGTAGAAATCATGCTTTTTTGACTTTTGCTGCCTCTTGAAGGGCTGCTTTCTTTGCCTTTATCACTTCACATAATTCCTAAAAAAAAGAGACGATTTTTTTAAAAATAATAAATTAACAATGTGTAATAATGTATTGGTAGGCCTAACCACATCTGATGTCAATTACATTTAATTTTACTATCTATATTGTCCACCCCACATATTTTCCCTGAAACCAGTGTTCAGATCATGTGACAGCATTGGTACTTAAAGAGATTCTGATAGGTTTACTTTTTTATATGATTGATAAAATAAACCTATCACTGACTGACAGAACATAAAATGAAATGGGCTTTAAACATCCTTCTGTTTTGCTCCTACTGGGCTAATTAAGATGGCTGATAGAACATAGATTAGAGAATATATTAGATGACAATGTTGTGTTAAAATAAGAAAAAAAAATTTGGAATCCATTTTTGATTAGTTTGATCACATTTAAATGTTCAAAGTCTATATTATAACATCTACCTTATATCTTTTCATGCAATCTTTTTTACTTCTAGTAGGTACAGCTTCTGATATTTTTTCCCATCTTTCTGGTGTACTAGCATTAAATGTCTTTAAGGCTTGTTCTAATAATTTCTGTTCATCAGCCGACCATGGTGCTGGATTAGTACCTGTTTGTCTGATTTGTTGTTCCGCTACACCTGAATAACACATTTACCTAGATTATTACATCAATTCTAATTCCTATATTGAATTCCAGTGATTTTATTAAAACAATATTTCTTTCAGATAAATGTCTGATCAACAAGGATAGACACTTTTCAGTTGATTTTCAAAGAAACATTTGTCATTTTGATCGTGTTAAATATAAAGACAATAATTTTAATTTCTATAAATTACATTTAGAGCTAAATAAATAGTTTCAAAATTAACAAGATGACTAGTCTTCAACATCCTGTGCCCTTGCACTTGTTTGGAAGGCATAAGGAAAAACAACTTCTTTATGTTATTGGTAATCAATATCAAAATATATCAGATTAATCTCATATTCCAAAACATGGAATATCAATGGGACTAGCTAGTAAGTCAGAAGATTAAGACTCTGATCACAGTAGCTCGTCATTGCAGGGTCGCTACTCCCTGTAATAGGCTGTGATTTAGACCTGAAAATCGTTTCATCTCGTCCCAGCAAATTCCGAGTGAAAATCTGACGCTTTGTAACATAATTTAACCAGTAGGCCATCACTGTCGCATACATTTCTGTTCCGATGCATTGCACAATACGTCTTGCACTCGAATTACGTATCAAACTATATTTGTCAAGTGTAGCCATAATCGGGTGAATAAATCAAATTCTAAGCCAATCAGAAACCATAAAAGCAAAGATCGTCATTAGGTCAAGGGTCAATAGCCATAAATAGACCAGGGAATACATTTTATGAGACAGAACACGTTGGATTGTTTACATTTGTCAGAGATAATTTCTCTGTAAATATGCCGGGATTACTGGATAATACCACCTGTTAAATGTTGCATGGACACGGTAAAGACGACTTACCCCTGATCTGTGGCATAAATATGGCCAATAATTGGGAAATAGCACCAATGATTGAATGAATCTTTTATTTTCTGGAAACAAGTATTTCTTCAAAACTATTTAGTATTTCAGTGAAACAATATCCAAGACAAATTACAACACGATCATAAAAACATTAACTATCTCTGTACAGATGTAAACAACAATATTTTTAATCAAGTCCACAAGTTTATTGACATGTCAAACAGATTTTAACCTTGCTTATTAATTGTTTTAATTTACAATATTAGTTTTAAATTTATGTGATGATGTAACATATAATATATATTGTACATTGCCATCCGTCTCTTGATATATGTATTTACATATATTTATGTATGTGTTTGCCATTTTAACTGTGTATATACACCCATTTTGTTCCTTTGTTTTAATATTATGTATGTATATTATCTAGAGAGAGGGGTTTTAAACAGGCTAAGCCTGTTCCCCAATCTCATTCAGACAAACTGAATAAAATATTGTTTATAAAAAAAAAAAAAAAAAAAATATCCAAGAGAAATATAAATACTTATTACAGATGAAAACGATTTTGGCATGCTTGAAATACTGGTTCGGTCTTATAATTATATATAATGTTAAGAAAAAACAAAAATAATAATACCATGTGATATGATCGATACAATTAATAATAATTCATCTTCATCAATTTTACTATTTTTTTTAAAAAAGAAAACAATAGACTTATTATAAGAGTATAGAGAGAGAGAAATGGGGTTTAACTTCCACTCAACACAAACTAGGTAATTTTGGTTCAATTTTATTCCAATAATTCGCTTGCGTGTAGTGGTCTTTAGCAGTGGGAGGAAACTGGAGGACCCGGAGAAAACCCATGAGGTTGGACAGGCGACCCTTCTCCTTGTCAAGTACAACCGTGGAATCTAAACCACGCCAGTGGACTCAATGACAGACCTTATGATACAGCGCGCATATGCTACCCATTCGGCTACTCAACCCTCTATAAGAGAGTATAAGATTACATTTATTTAAAGAAAGAAATTAAAAAAAAAAAATAAACAAATGCAATTGTATAAATTGTATATAAGAGAAAAACAAACAGTTACCTAAGTAAAATGGTTCTAGTAAAATGAATTAGAAATGAAATGGTCTAATGAAGATGGGCATATACGCCATACAGGGTGCTATAAGGCAAATTTTGCCTGGGCACAGCATTATGGCCTACATTTATATCGAATTACAACTGCCAAGGGATCTTTTACGTGCACACCAATGTATACACGCAACCTCAACTAGACTGCTGTCCTTGTGCTTTGTCAGCCCCTCCGCCTGCACCACTGACAAGGAGAAACTGTCAGAAATGAATTAGAATAAAAAAGTAAAATAAAAACATATAGTAAGCATAAAGTGACAAAATATAATATGAAAATTTATTGACATGTACAGTACATTTAAGTAAAACATATTTAAAATATGTAATATTTAAAAAACGCTTACAAAAATACATGTATACAGGTGTAGGCCTACTCATATAATTTCAACAATATCATCATCACTATTAAAATCAATGTCACTTGTAACAAGTACATCTATTACTGATCTATCTGTAAAAGTGTAATTCAGATTGATTTGCATTCACATTGAGAATTTTGTTTGGTGCTTGATCTCTAGTCACCCTAACCCTGTCATTTGTTCAATAGAGTTTAACAAGTATGTGTATAGTTTAGTGTTTAACAAGAGGGTTTAAATTTCCGTAAGCTACAGTCAGGCAACCAGGGAGGAATGCGCCAGAATATGCCCCCTTTTTGACTGGTGATGCAAGGGCAGAAATAATTCTTCATACATATTTTTTTCAAAAAAAGTAAGTGCACTTGTACCAACTCATCTATTTTGGTTCTAATTTTCTCCATAACAAACACTGGCACAGCATTCACACCTATAGAAAAGGCAAATGCACTCAATACTTAATTTGCTGAGCAATCCAAACTCAATGATCTTAATCACCCACTGCCATTAATTAACCGAAATACCAACAGTATAACTAATATTACTCTACAGCCGAATGAAGTTAAAGACATACTTGACTCTATCGATACTTCTAAATCCTCTGGCCCTGATCATATTAGCTGAAAATTATTAAAATCTATATCTAAGGAAATTTCTAACCCATTATGTACTCTGTTTAATCATTCCCTTAGGGGTGCTATCTTCCCTTTGATCTGGAAACATGCTAACGTCGTAGCGATATATAAAAAAGGAAATAAGGATATATGTTCCAACTATCGCCCGATATCATTACTCTCGATAATAAGTAAGATCCTTGAACGTTGTATTTATAAGCATGTCTTTAACTTCCTTCTAGATAACAATACACTTACACAATTTCAAAGTGGTTGTATGAAAGGAGACTCGACTATCTACCAACTTCTAGACTTAAATGATTTTTATTGTAATGCAATCGATAAGGGTTATTATACGAGAACGGTGTTCTGTGACATCTGCAAAGCATTCGATAGAGTTTGGCATGCTGGACTCTGTCTTAAGCTTGATGCTGTCGGGGTCCGAGGCACATTGTACAGTTGGTTTAAAAGTTATATAACTGGTCGATCACAGTGTGTTGTTCTGGACAATGTCGCCTCGGAGTCATCACTCGTCACTTCCGGTGTTCCACAGGGCTCCGTTCTCGGTCCGCTTCTATTTTTAATTTATATTAATGACATCATTGAAAATAATCAATCAAATATCAAATTGTTTGCTGATGACATGTCTCTCTACCTACTGATAAAAGATCCGTCGGATAGTGCGAAAATAATGAATTCGGATATCTAGAAAATCAACGTTTGCTCCAAAAAATGGCTGGTTTCCTTCAACCCCACAAAAACAGAATCACTAACAATATCTATCAAACCACACAATAACATACCACCACTTTTTATGGATTCTGTTAAAATGAATGATGTGCAAAACCACAAGCACTTCCGTCTTTTCTTCCAACACAAACTTAAATGGGATATCCACATAAATAATATTTGTAATAAAGTATCAAAATTAATCAATTGTTTAAGATCCCTAAAGTACAGGTTAATAGAAAATCTCTTTGCATAATTTACAATTCTTATATACTACCGCATTTCGACTATGCAGACATTATTTGGGACAATTGCACTGATCACCTAGCGAACCAACTAGAACACCTTCAACTTGACGCCTTACGCACTATTTGTGGGGCTGTAAAGGGAACTAGCCACCGTTTACTCTATCTGGAAACTGGTATTATTCCTTTGAATGAAAGAAGAAAAAGACATAAATTACAGACAATATATAAAATTATTAATGGAATGGTTCCAAATTATTTATCCAACCACATTAAATTAAAAACATCTCCATATAATCTTAGAAGTAAACCAGAATTAGATGAAATATTCTGCAAAACATCTCTCTATTACAATTCATTCTTTCCATCAGCTATCCGACTCTGGAACAGCCTAGATCCGTCCATAACAAATGTCTTATCACTCTCAAAATTTAAACAAGAACTCTCTAAACGTGATCCGAAAATACCTCTCTTTTATTATATTGGCAAACGTAAAAATCAAATTATACATACTAAACTAAGACTAGGCTGCAGTAATCTAAATTTTCATAAATTTACAAGACATATTTCAAATACCCCCGAATGTTTATGTGGTAATATATTAGAAGATCCTTATCACTATCTCCTTATATGTTCCTTGTATTCAGATGCTCACCACAGAACAATCGACACTTTACCTCATACACAACAAAACATTAAAGTGCTACTATATGGATCGGAAACACTATCATACAACGAAAACGTGTCCGTATTTAACGGCGTCCATAATTTTATTGAACAAACCAAAAGATTTAGATTTTAAAAAATATCTGATTTTAATTATTTCAAACTTATGTTTACATGAAAATATTTTTATTGGGTTATGTGTACATATATATATAATTTCCTTTTATCTATTCTTTTTTCTTCTTTATTTTCAAAATATTGTAATATAATGTAATTTATTGTAACCGGGAGAGGGGTTTATATAGGCTTTGCCTGTTCCCCAATCCCCTCAGTTTTCTGAATAAATATTTTTTATATAAAAAAAAAATGGTTTATGAGATACGCTCCGGAAACAAAATTGTACAACAAAAACTAATTGAAATTTGTTTCCATGGAAACACAAACCAGCGGCTGCCAGGAAGGATACGCCCACATTTTCGAGAGATGGATAGAAAACAAGCTAAAACGAAAGTGATTTTTCCTACAATCAAGGGTCATAATTCAGGAAATTACAATTCGGTATGCGCGAATATCAAAAGGAACCCAGATCTTTGGGTTATAAACTTACATTTCAAGTTTCAAGAAAATAGGATAAAAATTGTGACCTCTATAGGGTCCACAACCTTGATAAGCAATTTGAGAACGAGGGGCGGCCATTTTGTCTGTCAGTTTTGGGCCGATTTTCACGAAATTTGAACTCAGTCGTCCTTAGGGTGTAACGGTGATATAATAATACGTTTTTTTTAAATCGAATAAAAATTATGACCTCTATAGGGTTCACAAGCTAAAAACGCGATTTTTCGTACAATCAGGGGCCAAAATTCAGTAAGTTACGGTCTGATATGCGCTATTTATCGAAAGGAACCAAGATCTTTGGGTTATAAACTTACATTTTAAGTTTCGACAAAATCGGATAAAAATTGTAACCTATATAGGGTCCACAACCTTGATATACCATATTTTTACGCTATTTGAGAACGAAGGGCGGCCATTTTATGTCAGTTTTTGGCCGATTTTCACGAAATTCGAACTAAGTCGTCCTTAGGGTGTAACGGTGATTTAATAATATGATTTTTTAAATCGGATAATAATTATGACCTCTATAGAGTCCACAAGCTAAAAACATGATTTTTTGTACAATAAGGGGCCATAATTCAGAAAGTTACGGTCCGATATGCGCGAATATCAAAAGGAACCCAGATCTTTGGGTTATAAATGTGATTTTTCCTACAATCAGGGGCCATAATCCATGAAGTTACGGTCCGATAGATGCCAACATTGAAAGGAACCGAGATCTTAGGGTGATAAACCTATATTTCAAGTTTCATTGAAATCGGATTAAAATTGTGACCTGTAGACTGTTCACAAACAATTGTGGACGGACGGATTTCCAGACGGACAGGGGCGACGACAATATACGTCCACATGAAAATGTGGGCATATAAAAATATAAAGCCAAGAAATTTCTAAATAGCAAAAGGCACAACTACTGTAATAGTTTGATGCGTGTACAAAGTTTCATAAAGATATCTTGAACGGTTTATGAGCTATGCTCTGGAAACGAAATCAGGACGGACGGTCGGTCGGATGGACCCCATTTCAATATCCCTTCCTAACTTCGTTTGGCGCTGGATAATACACTTAAATTTACTACAGAGTTACACGATAACATATGTATTACTTACTTTCAAGTCGTTCACTAGGAACACCCTGTTGACTTGGAGGTGCAGATTTGTGAGATTCATTGAATTTCTCAAATGCTTTTCTATCAGCAGCATCCTTCATAAAACCATCTGTAATAGTAAGTATCTTACCGTAGACATAAAACATAAGTGTATTCTAATGCTATGTCTATAAAATATACCTAGATACAATGAAAATGGAGTACGTTTAAAAATAGATGACTGTAGATCTCATTTGACAGATACACTTCAATCTTGTAATTCTGAACGTAACAACATCAGATCACGACAATAATAATAATATATGAAAATTGTATTTTCACGATCATGTAAACGAACCATAGATCAAATTTCTCAAACATGACATCTGTGGCTGCTAGAGGTGGACACACATGTTACTGACTGTTGATTTTTACCCCTTGTGGCTACGTTTTACTGTAAAATAAAGGTTTGCATATGGTAGTGGATTCTGCTTGATTTTCTTGTGTCAGTAAATGTCAAGCCTGCAATCATGCCAAAAATCACATTTCAGGTGCATTACGTCTCACCATCCCTTTCAGTCAAATCAGTGTTTGTTTTCATTGCATTTCAGTATATATAATATTAATTCTTCTATGTTCAGACCCAGTAAACAAAATTTTGCTTACCGTTTTTCTGTAATTCTTTTGCCTTAGCCAGAACATCTTTTGCATTTTTATTGGAAGTACTAACATGTTGTTTGATAAATTTAGATATGACTTCCCACCTAGTAAACAAGCCAACAGTGAGACTGATGTCCCCCGCCAAAATCCCAAAATAAATAGATGACGCATATTAATTAATCGCACATTTATTTTTTTCAAAAGTATAGAGCAATCAAACAATACACTAAGTTTCATCACTCTCCATCAGATAGAATCAAGATTATCTTGTCCCAAAGCATCGACCAATGAAAATGATTAGCTCTGCTTAGCTTCAGCTCGGAATGTTAATCATTGAACTCAGTCAAGACATTCACCTAATGAACATCTACATCAAGTTTTAACATTCTACCTCAATTAAAAGCCGAGTTGTTATGTTCCAAAGTCTTGACCAATCAAATTGCTTATTACTTAGCCTAAGCAGAAAATTCTCACCATCGAACTTAGTCAAGGTAATGATATAATGAATCTATATTCAGAGTTTCATCGCTCTCACTTCATCGAACTCCATCAAGGCATTCACATAATGAACGCCTACACCAAGTTTGAACATTCTAGCTCAATTACATGGAGAGTTATTGTGTTCCAAAGTCTTGACCAATCAAATTGCTTATCCCCAGCAGAAAATGTTCATTATCGAACTTAGTCAAATTAATATCTCTGCTTACCCTAAGCAGAAAATGCTTATCTTCGAACTCCAGCAAGGCATTCACCTAATAGACACCTAAGCCAAATCTGAACATTCTAACTCAATTAGAATTAGAGTTATTGGGTTTCAAAATCTGGACCAATCAAATTGATTATCGCTCTGCTTACCCGAGCATAAAATGCTCATTATCGAACTTAGTCACGGTATTGATGTAATGAAACTATACACCAAGTTTCATCACTCTCACTTAATTAGAACTAAAGTTATCGTGTCCCAAAAGATCAACCAATCAAATTGCTTATCTCTCACTGAGAAGTAGTAATAGTGTGATTTGTATGTTAGAACTAAAGTTATCGTGTCCCGAAGCATCAACCAATCAAATTGCTATCTCCACTTACCCTAAGCACAAAATGCTCCTCTTCGAACTCCATCAAGGTATTGACCTAATAAACACCTACATTCTAGCTCAATTAGAAGGAGAGTTATTGTGTTCCAAAGTCTCGGCCAATCAAATTGCTTATCACTCTGCTTACCCTGAGCAGAAAATGCTCATTATCAAACTTACTTAAGGTATTGATGTAATGAAACTATACACAAAGTTTCATCACTCTCACTTAATTAGAACTAAAGTTATCGTGTCCCAAAGTATCAACCAATCAAATTGCTTATCTCTCACTGAGAAGTAGTAATAGTGTGATTTGTACGTTAATGGTATATATTTCTCAATTTTTAGTAAATTTGTACAAATATCGGTAAAATTCTAATTATCGCAACAAATCGAATACGAAGAGGCTAAAATCTGTAGGTACGGTGTGTTAATTAACAGGGGTGAGAAATTGACTGAAAGGTGATATAATTATCGCTAGGGGTGAAAATCTCGGCGACGGTGCATTTTCTGTATTGATGTGTCAATTAAAGAAAGGGTTAAAAACGACTGGCACAGTGTGTTTTTTGTGTATGGTGAGTTTTCTCGAAAGCGTGTTATAACTTCAGCAAAGGTGATTTATCAAGGACCAGCAGGCTTTATCTGACGCGTAGGTGTTAAATCTAATTTACTGTGCGATTTCTTGTTCGACCGTGTGTTTTACGCAGATCGGTCTTTGTTAATTGTAGGTCTTTATACGTGGATTTATACATGGGATAGTTACGTATATCCTTTCTTTTACGTATTTCATTTCTTATACGTATTTCATTTCTTATACGTATTTCATTTCTTGATGAATACTACGTGTTTTGTACTTCATACCATAGACGGACTGCAGTTATTTATATATTTGATCTTTTTTGTGGGTTTAATTTGTTTACAAATTATCGTGCGTACCACTGAACTATAAATGCTCGTTTCTTAAAATTGATCACACAGTACCGTCATTTCCCGATATCATAACCAACCCCAATTTGATTATCCGATATATTCTAATCGCCATTGTTATCAGATTAACGAATCTGTTTTCGAAGCAGCCATTATATTGTAATCATATTTTCATACAAAACAGCTTTTCGCCGATTTACATGACGTCTTCCCGATATATTCGCATTAGGGTATGTTTGGTTCCCTTCTTTCAACAGCTTAGATGACCCTTCTTGGACAATTAGTCAAACGTAAAGAAATCTAACTCTCGGTCCCGCATCCGCTGCATGTATAAATCGAAAGCACGGACTAGACACGGCTCCATGTGTCGCCTAGCTTGTTCTATTCTAAAAGCATGCAATCGCCTTTGGAAATCACTTTGATGTCTTTTTATTTCGGTCGCTTTATTTGAAACGATTTTCGTAATAAGCCGTAGTAATTTGTGATTTTGTTTTTACTGCCAATTCTGCTTAATTGTGTGCGCTTTGAAATCTATAAACTTGACGTAAAACAAATCATGGATACGGGTTTAGAATAGGGTTTTACCCTGATCTAACAATATGGAATATTAAATATGTGTCCGTATGTACCAAAAATAAATCACATAAAACAGATGAATAATACAACATAGATTTGAAACAGAAAATCTTCAAGTATATTCGTAAATATGTTTCCCTTTTGTCTAAATCCCATTTATAACTGTTTGATCTCCTTTTGCAGAGCAAAGACTTGTTATTTTGAATGATACCGAGAAATCACTTAAATCTGTTACAATCAGAGAAAATATTATAAACATAAAGGGGGCGTGGGGCATTAACAGTGTGATAACTCATAAAAAAAAATAATGATGCACACCAAAGTTTTTGCATAAAGAGATGGTTTGTCATGTATTTCAGTAAATTTCACTATATTTGTTATGTATTCTATTCACATAGATATGTAAAATTGTGTGAAAGAATTAGGCCACTACCTTTATAAGAATCTATTTATATAATTAGGCAATAATAATTTATTGCTGCAGTTACCTATTTCGACATATTCACTATATTTTATAAAATCATAGTTTTAAACCTATATAGCTTAATTTTCAATATTTCTGGTTATTTATTATTCTATATTGAGTTCCACGTTATGAATTTTTTTAAAAAGAAACTATTTCAGATCAACAGTAATTTCTAATACACCTTTGATGTAATTTATGTACATAATCCATTGAGGCGTTTGTGTCGCTGACAAATTACAGTTTTTAAATAGGATACACAACACATCGTTATTAACTTACAGAGTCATGACGAATTTTAAATTTTATTATAACAAGACAAGACAGTGAATGTATTTGGAATATTATTGTTCTGTTCTGAAATCTATAAATTTACCTTTGGTTTATAATACACATTATACAGTTACAATGGAATTGTGTGTCCATTTATTGCCCCTAATAAAGTCTGGCAGCAGTTATATAACATCTAGTCATCTAGGTCAACGTTGTTAAAGTTGGTGATCAGTGAAGTGTATAGTTCGTGCTCTGGTGTCAGTTTGGTGATTGTAATTAGAAATGTAAATTCTACTATGTGAATTGGAAATTCCTTTTTATAATTTAACAAATCCAAGAAGAAGAACAACCAAACAACAAATAATCTGTTAATATTATTTGAAAAGACTTTAAATTTTCCAATAAGAGATTTTTTTTTTTTTTTTGGGGGGGGGGGGGAAATAAGCTATATAGAATGGAAAAATATCATAGTCATATGATTTAGTATTAGTCCACATACGCCGTGATAATGTCGGCATAGTAGCACAAGCATTTCTCCTTTTCAATGTCATCACGTATTTCTTGGCCTTATATTTCTTTGAATAATTTGAATAACGTTTCCCCGTCTTCGCCCTGCCCAGTCTTAAATTCCACCCATTGACTATGTTTCTTTTAAAACCCCATATAATTACACAAACTATCATTATTGGAGAAAAGCTATATGCGTATAGCAGCGAATGTCTTGGCTAATACCAACTGCCAATTCGATGAAAAATAAAGCACACAATTCATACGTTACGATTTAATTAAAACATTTAATTATGAACGCATATAAACATCAATATGTGACAACAAATAATGGTATTGCTTATACTCTTTATCTTGTCTAGTTTATTTTTTTGTTTTAACATTTCTCTGATTACAACATAATATAATGACTTGGACAGTTTTTTCATTTCAGATACTAACCGAAATTTCCTATGAGAAAAAAATGAAATGTATATAATATATACATATTATGTTAATAGAATATCAAGCTTTATTTAAATGAGATGCTCGAAAAGTGAACCACACATTTATCCATGGCAAATAAGATCAAAATTGAATATACCACAGTATTCACTCACATTACAGAATTGTCCTTTTTGTTTTACTTATTGTAATAAACTGTTACAATTCCAACCAACTTTATCAGCTAATCCATTCGAGTACGAGGAACAGCTCGCCTCTCAACATCAAAGAGCTGAGCTAACTGTGTGGGCCCCTCAACATCAAAGAACAGTTCTGTGTGAAAACCTGTGGTTTCTTAGTACTGTGGAGTAAAATAATAAAGCTGGAAAACAAGCGGCTATATGAACAAGCGTCTCAATATTAGGTCATATATCAGTATTATTCTTTCAAAGACGAGCTAGTTACACAGAGTTCGATCGAATCTGAATAATGTTCGGCAATGGGCAATATACCGTGGGTGGAAGCGGGCGCATGTCCCTATTTTCATCAGTCTTATTTGATATGTGAGTTATCATTTGTTATATATAGTGAGGAAATTACTTTTTCTCGGTAGTCCTATCTTCCTATGACCCAGGCAAGAAACTATACATTTATATATTAATACGCCAACGTGTAGTAAATATAGCAGTGACGAAAACTTACAGATTTTCATTAATTGTGCAATTTTACATTTATAAACTTGCTTTCGAAACAAGATTTGTTAATCTGATAACAATGACGATTAGAATATAACGGATAATCAAATTGAGGTTGGTTATGATATCAGGAAATGACGATACGGCATGCGATCAATTTTAAGATA